ATGGGAACTTGAGTGGAGCTTATTATAGGACTAGGGCTAGCAGCTACATGCAAAATTGATACGGATCAATAAGCAGCCATTCTAGAGACCTCAGGCCTCTGAGAAATAAGACCTGAGTCCTGACTGCGCCATTCTAATTCCCCAGAAACTCGACAGCACTTCAGTACTCGTTTGTTGATGTCCATGGCATTTCATGTTGTATCTTTACAGTGTAATTAGTTCTTTTTCAAGTTAGCTTGAATAGGTTTCTGCTCCTTGCAACCAAAAAGAGCTTTAATCACAAAGCACTGTTACATGTTTTCACAAAATACACATATAATTCTGTACAAAAAGTATTTTTAATGGGCTCAAATGTTCCAAATGTGCAAATGTGTGATAATGATTTGCCAGAGACTGTATGTTTGTATATTTCCTGTCACTATATTCTTCTTCAGTATGCAGATAAACACTAAAATTTACCATACAATCTTTTTTTTTTTTGAGACAGGGTTTCACTCTGTCACCCAGGCTAGAGTACAGTAGCCTCATCAATAGCTCACTGCAACCTCAAACTTCTGGGCTCAAGTGATCCTCCTGCCTCAGCCTCCTGAGTAGCTGAGACTAATTTTTCTATTTTTTGTAGAGACAAGGTCTCCCTTTTGCTCAGGCTGGTCTTGAACTCCTGGCCTCAAGCAATCCTCCCGCCTCGGTCTTCCAAAGTGATAGGATTACAGGTATGAGCCACTGTGCCTGGCCCTTACCATATAATCTTTAATTTTAATTGTCGTCTCTCTAATCTTTATACCTCAATAATATTTTCCATTTTCCTGTAATACTTTAAAGTCTACTTACACTGTACAATTATCAATTTACATTTTACTTCTTAGGGTATCAGAATTTGTCTTGTAATAAATATACACATTTAGTGCAGTGGTATTTATCTTCTTTTCATTCTCCCAGAAGTTATTTAAATCCATGATATTATCTTATGATTAATTAGAATTGGTAAAATGATAGTATAAATTATAAAATTTTTATGTACATTCATAATTGTTTTATAAATAGTCCAAGTGAGTATTCATTTTACAGATATTTTGAATTTTTAAAAACATCATAGAACTACAGACTTTGCACCCGTAGCACTCCTAGAGAGCATTAAGTCCAAGCATTTTGCTTTAATGGGTGGAGAAACCAAGTGAGGCTTAGGAGTCCATGGCTAGTTCTGGGCAGAACCTGAAGGGGTGTCACTCCTGATTGTCCAAAAAACATTCTTTCCACTTCACTTATCATAGTAAAAAATCATGTAATACCCCTCTAGATAGTAAGGAGAAATCCAATTTTGCTGCAGAACAAAAGCTGGGAATAGGTATTTCCTACAGTTCAGTGATGCCTTGCACCACTGAAGGACAAGGCAGTTCTTTTAGAAGGTTGATGATGCTGCAATTTGAGATAACTACCACCAGATGGGAGCAGTGTAGTTTTCTTTGCCAGGTAGCAAGATGATCTTTCTGGCCAGACGAAGAAATGGGTCAGTCGCCTACCACACATCTAGCCAGCATAACTGGTTGAGAAGAGCCAGCCCAGATTCTCAAAGCCTATGACCACAATAAATTTAAAAGCAAAGCAACAAACCAATATGCCTAACACAGATGAAGCCATGTTATTAAGCATCTATACCTATAAAGGGGCTTACTTGCAGATGAGAAGCATTTAAATCATGAGATCAAAATCCAAGCCTTAACAGGGTGTGTCAGTCCAAAAATGCCAGCCACTATCCCCGTGCAGTTGAGCAAATGTTGATGTAAACTACTAGGTTAGAAGGCAGAGGGGAGACAGCACCAGTCAAGACACTTCTTGAGCACAGGTCCATGTCTACCACACAGATCAGGGTGATAAGATTCTCAGCCACAGCTAAAAAGGGTTCAGGCTATTGTGGAAGAAGGCTATCAGCAGAGAAGCTTATTTCAGACTGATTTGCATCCCAAATCTTGATTAAATGGAAAAGTCTAAAGCTGAGCTGAGGATGGTTTGGACAGAAGTAAGAAAATCTAACATTCAGTAGCATGCACCAGTCTTTCTGCCTACTAGCATTTTTTTGAAACACTAAAATAATTTCATCCACAAATTTATTGAATCACAAAGAGAGAAAGGATCTGATCTATTATGTGAAGCAAGCGAGTGAAGTAGGCAGGATAATTTTGACACAGACACATTTTTCCTATTAAATATGTAGGGATTTGTTTTTACTTCCACAGGAAACATGCTTTCTCCCATTTTCCCTAAAATATACAGCATCATTGGTCTAAGTTTCTTCCCCTAACTGTTGATGAAGATGTGGGTGGGTGTTTACAAATTGCCACAAGGTTAGAGATGTTGACTGGTTCATCATGCCGTAGAACAATGTCTAACACACAGTAAAGCACTCAGTAATGAACTAATTCTCCTTTTCATGTCTTTACAGAGGACAGAAAAGGCTAAAGAGAGTGGTGGAGACTACGGGAAACTAACATGCCTGGCCCATGTAAAGGGACAGCTACTATGCAACTCCAGATCACTGTTGCCATGTGGGAACATGGGCCTCGTTTTGTCAAATCTGCTAATTTCTAAAGATAAGCTGGAAACCCAAAATTTTATGTGAAATCTCCAGATTTAGACACTGGCAACAAGTCACATTTTATGCTAACCCTAGACAGGCTACACTGTAGAGGCTAAAGAAACCACGTCTGCAAAGCTTTAGAGAATTTCTGATCCTCCAGTTTTCTACCTCTGATCTGGTCTCACCCCTTCATTTACTGATGGCCAAAGAGGGGAAGTGTCACAATCCACATTCCACAAAGTTAAAAGATGATTTGCAAATAAACACCAAAATATATATATCTTAGCTTATACATTGGTTATCACAGTTCTTGCCTTTCTTCCCTGAAGAGGAGTTTATGGAATATTCCCTCTACACAGCATTTGTATGAGATTTATTTTAAAGGCATTTCAAAATAAGCTATTTCATTTATATTTTCACAATAACTAAATGAGGTAGGTGAGCAACCTATCATTCCCATTTTCCCAATAGGAAAAGATGAAAAGAGACTAAGTTCCTTTCACAAGAACACATGGAAGTATTAAATAGTTAGTGGGAGAATTCAGACTAGATCCCTCATCATTTTAAATTTTCTTTTAAAAATCAAGTTTACATGTAATACAATGGACCCATTTTAAGTGTACAGTTTGGTGAGTTTTCACAATTGTTTACACTCTTACAACCATCACCATAACCAATTCATCACTGAAAACAGTTATTCATGCCCCTTTGCAGACAATCTCCCCTCTTTCCCCACACCCCTCTCCCCCCCATGTAACTTTGGATCTGCTTTCCATCCCTACAGTTTTGCTTGCCCTAGAATAAATGGAATCATACAGCATATACTCTTTTGGTCAGGCTTCTTTCATTCAGACCATAATATTTCTGAGATCCATCCTCATTGTTATACGTATCAGTAGTTTTTTTTTGCCAACTAGTATTTCTTTGCATACATATTCCACAATTAGGTTATCCATTCACCTGCTGAAGGACATTTGCATTATTTCTAGCTTTTGGCTATTATGAATTAAACATTCATATAGCAGTCTTTTATTACAGACATAGGTAATTATTTCTCTTAGGCATATACCTAAGAATGGAGCTGTTGGATCGCATAGCAAGTGGATGTTCTACTTTATAAGAAACTGCCGAACAGTTCTCCATGGGCATGCTATTTTACACTCTCAATAACCACAGACGAAAGTTCTGGATGTTCTACATCCTCACCAACACCAGGTATGGTAGGTCTTTTTCACTTTAGCCATCCGAGTAGGTGTGTAGTGATACCCTGTTGTGGTTTTAATTTGCATTTCCCTATAGATCCTTCATCATTTAAACTCCCAGGATTAGCTGCTTCCCATCACTTTCCTGAT